TTGTCAGTTTATGCACCTTGGGTTTTCGGAGAATGTTGACCAATAAGTAGGTCACTGTGACCCACTTTTGAATATCTCAAGTACTTATTGGCTTAGAATCATCAATCTTTGTCAATTAATGCATCTTGTGTCCTCAGAAAATTTCAATCAAAAAAGTAGGTCATCATGACCTACTTATAGTATTTTATAGTTACATTTAAATATCTTCAGCCCTAACTGGCTAAGAATCATCAAACTTTGTCAGTTGATGCATCTTGGGTCTTAGGATAGATTGTATAATTTATCAGAAGAGCAAATCAAGGCCCTTGGGCCTCTTGTTATGCCCCGCTATGAATATTACTGGGGCATATAGTGTTTGTCCTCTCCGTCTCCCGTCCTTCTGTTGCACTCTGCATTTAGCTCAGTTTCAAAGAAAGTATTCAAGATATTTTTATCAAATTTCATATGCTGATAGATATTGATGAGAGCTGTGTAACTGTAACAACATTTTTTGACCTTGACATTTCCTTTGACCTAGACCTCACTTTTCCTAAACTAGTGTTTAGCTCAGTTTTCAAGATACCATTCAAGATAGTGAAATCAAACTTCAGATGTTGATGCATACTGATGGAAACTTACATATTGTGACCTTGTCATTTCCTTTGACCTTGACCTCACCTTTTTTAAATTATGAAAGTCAACCGAGTAAACAAAGTTACTCAGGTGAGCGATGTGGCCCATGGGTCTCTTGTTTGACATACATGCAGCTCATGCTAGACACAGTGATGAAAATTTCCATTCCGAACACTAAGATAATAAAATCCAATCATTGTCAAGCACTAATGTATGCAAATGAGACTAAGTAAATCATTGGAATAACTAGTTTTTAAAATAAAGATTTTTATAAGAAAAGAATTTAAATGAATATTAAAGGTGAACACAACTCGTAAATAGGCATAGTCCGCCATATTTCTCGTTCTTTGACGCTCTCCCTACAACTCGTATATAAGGAGCAGATCGCTAGTCAGTTCAATGTATTTTACTATAGAGATCCGACGAGTGCAGACGTACATCTAACAAAGCGTGCTACTCAATATCAATGAAATTATCAATTTTTACGTATTTTTTCCAAAACAGGACAAAAGTATCATGGAAAATACAGGTCAATACATTATTTACGAACAGAAAATGCACATTAAAACAAGAAATAAACGCAAAAAATCTAAGACCACGTTGGGATCCGAGATAGGAAAGGTCCTCAGTATCCCCTTGCTTATCGTAAAAGGCGACTTAATGAGGCCGTCCTTCGGATGAGACCGTATAAACCGAGGCCCGCGTCATAGTTGGTGTGGCACGATCAAGATCCCTCCATGCTCAAAAGACTGTAAGTTCCGTGCATAGGCCTAAATTTGAAGACCTTGACCGGCAATGGTGAAGTCTCCATATCAGTGAAATATTCTGGAGAGGGACATGAAACAGTAAACATCAGTCGATCAAAATCTGGTCACATTATTTACTTTCAATTGCCGATATATGACTGAAATAATGCCGATTCCGTTCCAATCTGTACCTTCATTGTAGAAAATTCTGAAGCACCTGCTCATTGTCCTCCCACGCTCGCCCCGGTATCACTGAAAACACCAGGTTATCACGCATAGAACGCGCCTTCAGATCCACCACATAGTCTTGAATATGATTATTTCTTTCTTTTAAAGCCTGTAATTCAGAGTTTGGCACTTGCATCAAAGGACGGTCCGTTTCACATCCTTGTCCAAATTCTCGAAATAGTTTACCTTATCATTCAGTGTAGATATGACGTCAGTTATAGACTGAAAATGTGTTATTTTATTTTCAGTTTCACACAGCCGTTTGTCGAGTGATGTGTTGTTGTTTTCAATGACTGCAAGTCATGAATTTTGTTGGAAAAGACGCTCGTGTAGTGTCCCTAGCTGTAGCTCTCTGCTTGAGAAAATTCGGACAGATAACGGGGAGAGCTACAGCTCCAAGCGTTGTAAAACACTTGTGCCCTCCTCCCTCCAATTGGAATATCTTTAAGTCCAAGGGGCATAACTCTGTCAAAAATGGTGAGCTCGTGGCCAAAACAGAATTTGAACGAGATATCCATTTAACAAATCTGTAAACTACTATAGTAAATTTCATTTCAATATGTGCAACCTCTCCTCAGAAAATGAAATTAGTTCTTTCATATTATGTTAAATAGTTTAAACAATGCTTAAAAAGTACCAGCTTTGTAGTATGTTTTATTTATTGTAATGATATGTAACATGCTTCGCAGTACCGTTAAGGCTTCCCGGAGATGAAAATGTATTTATAACGTAACACTGCATTGCAAAGTTGATTTTGAGTTTTATTTGTAAGTTTTGTACTTCAGTACGCCAAATTCATATGGAGAATCCTTTAGGCTATTTATAAAAATATTTGTTACGATGTCACATGACCTTCTTGATCACCTGACGGTCATTTTTTCTTTTTGGAAATGTTCCTCATAAATCGCTTCGGCGCAGGCTGTTAACACAATTATTATTATCTTTTTGTCACATAAATAACCCAGTGCATCCCTGTGAAACCGAAAAGTGCTTGGGAAAATTCAAACCTTTTCTTTGGAACAATTTATTTCATATTAATTTTAACTTACCGACAAATCTGAGGGTATTTTCCGCTGAATATCGTCATTTGTTTTAAAACAAAGCCATCATTCATTTTTCCCAAGCAGGATTCAGTTAGAGGGGAAACTCCTCTTACATATTCCACAAAAGATATTAGATAAATCCTCCTTAACAACTTGCGCCAGGCTCTTTTATACACATATTATGAATTCTGCCTCTGTCCACGGGTGTAAAAAAGGGTAAATGTCAAACGTATATTTCCGTGCGTAGTTTGAACACGCTGACTCTTATACAAGAGTAATGAAGCAAAGCTATCTTAATATTATTCGGATATATTAGACTTTTGAAAAAATTTTAAAAACACCCTTATTTTAAACTAGCATTCTGCAATTTTATATGCAGATTGAAATGAGGTGTAAAGTTTATGACACTCTCCCCATTATTACAGCTCAAGTTTGCAGCGACTTTACGTCATTTTCAATTATGACGTCATACATTTGTAGTTCAGAGAAGTTCATGCGGAGAGTACACTTTAATATTCCCTGGGAAGCCTTATTGTACCTGCGTTATGCTTTTGCAGTGAATTGGAAATTCTTCAGGTATCTTAGTGTCGGAAGAAGATAAGAAAACTGCAATCAGTGATCTAGATTTTGAGGAGGACCTCCCTCAAGATGGAAAAAACTAAACAACTGTCCTTTCAAATTTTTAAAAAGGTGATTTGTACAAGTGTTATGAATTACCACGCAAGTTTATTTAAAACATATACTCATAAAAGCTATCTATTATGTGTTTAATACTTCTCTACAGAAGAAAATACACTACATCTTAAAATAAAATTATTTTGGATAATTATTGCAGCCTGCAGGCGAAAGAAGATGAAAAATGTTGCCTGCCCAATATGTAACAGAGATTCTTAAGATAAAAATTATTTTGGTCTATCATTGCAGCTTGAAGAGATGACGTACAGTGAGTACTGAAAGACGGTGGCATGAATGATTTGACGGAATTCCTGCACAAGGGGCATGGTAAGCGTCTCACTCTAATTCGAGCTGTACACAGAATACAGGCTGGGGTCTGCAGGCAGCACCAACGGACAAAATTACTGACCTCCTCCTCTGTCATGCACAGGGGGGAATCTGTCAATGGTTCCGGGCTTTTACTTGGGAGGCCGGGGTCGCAGGTCGGGGTGGTGGCCGGGGTGGCGATCTTGGTGCCAATCTCCTGTACGGGTGCGCCCTCCGATGCCGATTATTTACTTGGAACCTGGCTAAATTGATGGTCATCAGTTGGCGGTTATTGTCCTGTCTCCTAAGTACTAATACATTCTCAAAAACTATCCCGGGTATTAAAAACAAATCTTCATAGAAGAAAGTTCCACTTCCACTGCCTGACATCTTTCTTCTTTTTTACTTTCTTTCTCTGACAATCAGCTACAAACGAATGATACGAAATACACAGAGGGTCTCTATTTATAATCAATTGCAGAAGATAGTCCAATATCGCAGCAAACATCAATAATTCATCATGTGATTAAAAATCCTGACCTGTGATAGGTTATTACAAATGAAAGAAAAAGTGAGCTAGCTCACATACCCCACGCTCCCCCATAACTTGACGGTGAAACACATTTAATGAAAGGCACAGTGCACTTTAATTAAATATATAGTATAGATCAAAAAGGGCAATAATTGCAAAAAATCTTCTCATCAAAATGTCTTGCATATGAGGACATTTAAATGTGGAATGAAGTTTCTAGATAAATTATGGAATCAAAATTACTTGACAATATACAAATCCACACATTAATTTGAAGTGGGGGGGGGGGGGTTGAGAAATTTTCTTGAATAAAAGTCAAAACTCTTTGGGATAAAATAATGGAATATGTCCTAAATATCAGCATAGGTTGACGAAACTATGTACAACAGTTTAAGACGAGTGGTGCTAACAAACTGTTCATCTCTATATTCAAAATATGGCAAAAAAGTCTGAGTTGAAAAGTGTTTAAATTCCCGGAAAAATAGAAGAATCGGAATTTCCTGGTAATATGCACATCTACGCATTGTGTCCTAAATACCTGCAAAGTTTGACGAAATTCTGTGCAGCGGTTTATGAGGAGTTGCGCTGACAAACTGTTCATCTCTATATTCAAGGTATGGCCAATTGCCTAAGTTAAAAGTGCGGAAATTGAAAAATTTTAAAAACACATACGTAAATCATGTAATTTAAAATGTCAAACATTACATGTAGTACATGAATATCCCAATGTTAACAGAAATGTTAATATTGATGTAGGAAATGGCTGAAGCAGAAAATACAAGCAAGAAAATCCTACAAAAGCACCAAGCCTTCTCCTTGATGGTAAATGATTACTGTTTGCCACCGACAGCAGAAGGAGACATCAAAAGCAATGACATAAACTTGGATGACAGTGACATCAAGTCATTTTCTGATCGAGGTGAGATAGCTATAGATTTTGATTGCATATTTGTTTAACGTCCCTCTTGAGAATTTTTCACTCATATGGAGACGTCACCGATGCCGGTGAAGGGCTTCAAATTTAGACCTTTTCTCGGCACTCAGGGCCATTGAGCAGTGAGGGTTCTTTATCGTGCCAACGCCTACCGTGACACGGGACCTACGTTTTTAAGGTCATATCCGAAAGACCCGTGACTTTCACTTCTAGTGCCGAGCGCTTGGCGAAGGAACAGTCACTACCTATGTTTACGTCTTAGGTATGACGCGGCGCCGCGATCGAGAATCGAACCCGGGCCTCCCGATCACGAAGCGAACACTCTACCACTAGGCTACCGTGACCGGTGAGATAGCTATAAAATCTGTGCATAAGTTAATTTTAAGTCTCCTTCCCTCTCTATTTATTTCAAAAAAAAAAATTAATATTCATTTTGCAATATTTACCACATTCTAATGTGTCAGTTTTACTGTTAATCATTAAATTATTTTATATTTATATACATACATTAAAGATGCATTTATTTAAATAATAAAGTTTCAGTTTAAAACTTTTATCGAGATTTACATGTGCAAATACTGGTTAATCATTTGAACAAACCCCACTTGTAAGGGTGAAAGGAGAAAAGGGCTAGTGAAATTATGTCAATCGTTTATTTAAGTGAACAATGAATTAAAAGACACATGCAAGACATACCTTTTTATGCGCCCGGATCGATAGATCCGAGGCGTATATTGTTTTTGTACTGTCTGTCCGTCTATCTGTCTGTCTGTTTGTTTGTCCCCAAACTTTAACCTTCGCCATAACTTTTGAACCATGAAAGATAGAAACTTAATTTTTGATATGCATACTCCATTAATTAAGCTCTTTCAAATGACATCAAGGTCAATGACCTTGTGACCTTGACTGTGGCCTATATGCTAAAAATAGTTTTTTTCTGCAAAATTTAACTTTCGCCATAACTTTTGAACCATAAAAGATAGAGACTTCATATTTAGTATGCATATTCTACTAATCAAGGTCTTTGAAATGACACCAAGGTCAATGACCTTGGGACCTTGAGTATGACCTATATGCTAAAAATAGCTTTTTTCGAACTTTGTTGCTGCCGGGCGCATAGTGTTTCACAAACACATCTTGTTTATATTCAAATATGCCTTTCTTATAATTTAAAGTGTTATACATGTATAAGGAAAAACATTTGCAAGTGAAATAAAAAAATTCAGGTTAGAATAACATGTATATAATACATGTATTATTGATGATTTAACTAATGCAGTAATTCACAAACATTTATAAATAGACTTCCTAAATTAAGTGATATAATACTGTAACATCCATTATGTCAAATATTCTAGTTACCTAGAGTCTAGGTAAATAAATAATTATGCTTTTAGCATGTAAGTGTACAGCATACCTACACTTGTAGTGTATTGACAGTGTTTTATTTTCTAGGTGTTCAAACGGATCCAGATTTTGTACACTTAGAGTGTGAACAACTGGCTCAGGAATTGAATAAATGCTCTAAGGATTTGGAGAATGCACGTTGGAATACAGATAAAATCAAAGACAATGATTCAAAAACAAAATTCTATACTTGACTACCAACTTATGCTGTTTTTCTTTGGCTGTTCAAGTATGCTTTTTTCTTTATAAATTATAATTTTTAAATTATATTATATTTTTAATTCATTGAGGTAACACATAGCATAACAAAATGTCTATCTTTCATGTAAGGATATGGAAATAACGAACAGTGTTCATATCAACGTCCATTAAACAAATATACAAAATAAGAGCAGAGCATACACGGACCCCCGAAACATCAGAGGTGGGATCAGCTGCCATGGAGGAGTGAGCATCCCCTGCTGACCGGTCACACCCGCCGTGTGCTCGTTGTCATAATCAGGATATAACGGAAAAAATCCGTGGTCACTTCAGTGTATAAATAATGGACTAACGATTGGTATGAAAAACGTCAGTCAGCATTTCATTCAATGATAAATTGTATTTGCTGACAAGGTCATTGTATCGACCATAGAATTTACGAAATGATGACTTCAAACGAGACCGCTGATATTCTTGTTTCATCAACTTGCTTGTCAATAATTTACCTCGTTTAAGAAATTGTTCATACGTAGAGCATGCTCTTGCATATCGAATCAACTGAGATATAAATACTCCGTATGCAGGTGATGAAGGTATATTGCTGCATAAGTAAGGGAAGTTGACGATAGAAAAGTTAAAGTCATCACGTTTATCATATAGCTTGGTTGTTAGATTACCATTAGTGTCTTTTTCAAGTAAAATATCCAAGTATGAAGCAGAAGTGTCGGACTCTGTGGTATCTTTAATTTCAAGCTCACCAGGATATACAGTGGCTGGAACGTTATTGTTGACAACTTACACGAACGATCACGTTACACGAACGATTCTGCACGATTAAAGCACGATTAAACCTGTTACACGAACGATCTTTCACGTTCACGATTCTACACGTTACACGATCTTACACGATTGTTAACGCAAACGCACGTTTCTTCACTCAAAAAAAACGAAATAAAGCTTAATACTTATTTAAGATTTCAAAGAATTATCAATTTTATTTCATAGACTTGGAAAAAAAAAACGGAAAATGGTTTCCTGTAACTAAATATATGCAGAACTTAATGTTTCAGATTAAAAATAATTATTTCTAAGGTAATTCTCCGATCAAAGAAAACGGATTTTATTCGTTCTATTAGACGATGTACATGTACATGTATGTGGGCCATATAATTTGATTGAATTGGATATCATGATATGCAGATATGGGGATACGATTCAACAAAAATGGCAGCATTGAATGACTTAAATTATAATTAAAAATTTTATCCTTACGTTTCCATTTATTCAATATTTGATAAACTTGCTAATTATTCAACTTTTTTCTTTGCAGAAATTTAAAATTAATAAGTTACAAATAAGCTCAAGAGATAAACACAGATAATCAAAACTCCCGAAAATCATGCCGTGTGCATGTAGATTTGTCGACTAACTAGCTATGTAAGCATTGGGAAATGTTTACATGTGTATTTCTTAGTAAAAAAAATTATTTTCAATAAATTGATTTCAAGATTATCTTGACCACAATCAGAAGTGAATAATAATTGAATCAGATTTTTCAGAAAGGCGTAAGAAATCTAAGTACGGCTTATCACAAAATTGATCGCGCTATTTGACGAAAACTTAATATTGTACGACTTACTTTATTGCTTGTTTACAAGCGATAATTAGTTCGTTCTGCATTCTATTATGTAAATTGCGTTTTTTCATTTAATTTTGAATTTAATTAATAAATTAAGAAAACCAAACAAGGAAAATACTTATTTTAGAAATAACATTCCGATAAAAACTTACAAAACGAAATTTACACGATTCGAAACGCACGATCTCGCACGATTAAAAACGCACACGATTGAGTCTTATACACGAACGATCTTTCACGTTAAACGAACGATCACTCACGATACACGAACGTTTCTACACGATTGGTTTGTCAACAATAACGTTCCAGCCACTGTATCGTGTCGACGTAGGAATGGAAATTATTATTAATAGACACTACGTCGTCGATATATCTAAATGTCGAGTTGAAGGCCACAGCAAGTGTTTTCTTCTTTTCACATAAAAGATTTTGCATAAATTCTGCTTCATATGAATATAAAAATAAGTCTGCTAATAACGGAGCTGACATGTATGAGAGTTTAAAAATTAGAATTATTGTTGAAATTGACAACATAAATTGAATGTGGACAAGATATTAAGTAGTTGCTTAAAAAAAAAATTACTTTACAGTTTTCTGAAGCCTAAAGCAGAGAGGATGGTGTACTGGACCGGTCCTTACAAGACAGCAGGGAACCAAGAGAGGACAAGAGCAAGTACTGGCTCCTTAAGACTAATAGACCAACTGTCTGCTGTTTTAGCTAGACTGAGGCTTGAACTGTTTACGCAAGATATAGCAAACATTTAAATGTTCATTAAAATTTTGACAGCACGAGTAGACTTCCATGACATGTGACCGCGAACTTCAACTTACCCTTATTGGCATACGACTTTTTGCACAATTTACAAATGACAGTATCCATTTGTAAATTGTTCTTGCTTGGGGGCCCATCGCCCCTTTTTTCAGAAGCCAAAAAACTCCAAACTTTTGTTCTTGTTGCTCCAGGATATGGATACAATTGAAATTCGGCGTCGACCTCACATCCATGCGCCATTTTTGTTTACCGCCGATTAGAGTGTCGTCCCTTTGGTGAATATAAAAGTTAAACCTTCTCGGCTTGAAAATACGGCTTAAAAATATAGCAATCTATCGATGATAATATTTACAATCGATTGTCGCCGATCTGGGCCTTTAAAGGACGATTTTTCGATAGTCGGCGACAATCGTAACAACACTAAAAACAAAAGGCCCACGGGCCTTATAGGTCACCTGAGTATTGTGCAACAACTTTCAAACAATTAAATTTGGTTCATGTTTTTCACAAGAGGCCATGGAATTCACAATTTTTAAAGAGGTACAATTGCTTATAATAATTATAGACTTAGCATGCTTACTCTATTTACTTAATACCCAGAGGTAGATCAGAGTAACATTAAGAGAAAATGCACTATAACCAGTTGTACACCTCATCCCAAAGGAACCACTGATCCTGGGGCCTCATATTTCAAAATTTTGCAAATTTTATCATAAAACAGTTGATTAACACTAAAGGGCGAATTTCAAAGCATTAATTTATTATTAGACTTTCACCCCCACCCCCTCCCTCACCCCAACCCAGGGAAGGGGCGGGGGGCATAAAAATAACCATTTTGCTAGGTGCATTTTTCTTCATCATGAATATATATATTTGGATCATTGGCATAAAACACAGGAGCAAAGGAAAGAATTTCAAAGAATAAATACATTTTCACTATATAACCAATAGAGCAATGCCCTAACACCGGAAACCCCTGACCCCGGGGTCATAAAATTCACAATTTAGGATGAGGCACTCTTGATCAACATAACTATTTAATTACATAGTTTATTTAATACCCAGAAGCAAATAAGAAGATTTCCAAACAATAAATGCATTTTCACTATATAATCAATAGGGCCCCGCCCTAACACCTAAACCCCTAACCCTGGGGTCACAAAATTCACAATTTTGAAAGAGGAACTCTTGCTTATCATAATTATGTGCTTGGTTAGTTTATTAATTCCTAGGAGCAGAGAAGAAGATTTCCAAAGAATAAATGCATTTTCACTATATAATCAATAGGGCCCCGCCCTTACACCTAAACCCTTATCCCTGGGGCCACAAAAATCACAATTTTGGAAGAGGTACTCTTGCTCATCATAGCTATATACTTAGTTAGTTTATTTAAAGGTACTTGGACACAGATATGAAGTTAATAATTTCTCATTTTTTCTGTATAATATCACGAATTATATATTTTAATAGCATTTCACACAAAAATTAATAAAAAATCTTATTTTGTTTAAAAGTTATTAAAACTTAAAATTTTTTGGCGGGTTTGATTGACACATCCTTGCACTTTCACAAATTTTAACTTTATTCTTAATCCTTAGGAAAAGTGGCAATTTTGACGTGTTTTAATGAGAAATATTAAAACTTTTATCAAGAAAAATTATTTTATTCAGAGTAGAATTGTTAGAAAGCAAAACACCTTCACAAGTATCGTCATTCCGAACTAAGAGATGAGTGCAGAATTTAGCAAATCGAGCACACTCGTGTTATGTACACAGTTTTTGTAAAACAGGGCTCGAGTTCTGTTATTGTTTATATTTAGAATTCACCGGGTGCGTTCAATCGTCACAGTCTGCTTACCACAACTGCACGGACTGACAATATATTGTGTGTTTGTTTTGCTTTCGAACGTGTCTACTCTGAATTTTCTGGATTATAGTATTAATATTTTTCATTTAAACAAAACGAGACTGCCACTTTTCCTAAGGATTAAGAATAAAATTAAATTTGTGAGAGTGCAACGATATGTCAATCAAACCTGCCGAAAAATTTGAAATTTCATTATCTTTTAAACGAAATAAGATTTTTAATTAATTTTTGTGTAAATTGCTATTAAAAAATACAAGTCGTAATATTATACAGAAAATAATAACTTCAAATCTGTGTCCAAGTACCTTTAATACCCAGGAGCAGAGAATAAGAATTTCAAAGAATAAATGCATTTTCACTAAATAACTAATAGAGCCCCGCCCTAACACCAGAGCCCCTAACCCTGGGGCCATAAAATTCACAATTTTGGAAGAGGCACTCTTGTTCATCATAACTATGTGCTTAGTTAGTTTATTTAATACCCAGTAGTAGAGAAGAAGGTTTTCAAAGAATAAATGCATTTCCACTATATGACCAATAGAGCCCCGCCCTAACACCAGAACCCCTGACCCTGGGGTCATAAAAATCACAATATTGGAAGAGGCACTCTTGATCATGATAACTTTGTGCTTGGTTAGTTTATTTAATACCCAGGAGCAGAGGAAAAGATTTTCAAAGAATAAATGCATTTTCACTATATAATCTTTATAGCCCCGCCTTAGCACTAGAACCCCTGACCCTGGGGCCATGAATTTCACAATTTAAGTAGAGGACTCAGTGCTCATTACATTCATGCCAACAGTTTGCCTGCTTAATGTTTTGGAGTAAAGAAGAAGATTTTTAAAGATTGCACTAATTTTAGTGGTTTTTGCCCCACCCCCCAGGCCCCAGGGGGGCAGGGACCATGAAATTCATAATTTATGTTCCCCTTCACCCATAGATGCTGTATACCAAATTTGGTTGAAATTGGTTAAGTGGCTGAAAATGTTCAAATGTTTACACACGACGCACGACGACGGACGAAAACGGATAGCAATAGGTCACCTGAGTTACTCAGGTGACCTAAAATGCATCAATTCCCGTAAACTATACGATTCTTGCAGCATTTTCCAAAATCAATAGAATAAGAACTTAAGATAGAAACAAAAATTAAGTTTCAAAGCATGCAGCGTAGTGTTGACCTTTTGAATCGTTTTTGTTACGAACGACAGAGGAATGGCTGATCGGTAAGTAAACACTCTCTGCTTTTATTTTACGAAGAAACTGTTGAGTTATATTAGCATAGCTTTTTCAAAAGCTTTATTCCAACATGAATCACATATGATTTTCATTCTTATATATATCTAAATGCTTTTAAACTCCGATTTCTTGTGTTTGTTTACATGATTTCTCGTTACATTCCACTTTCACTCTGCTACTGCATGCTCAACAGTTATGACGAAACGGGTTTGGTTTTTGACCCTCTGTGATAAATACAGAGACCGGGAAGGGACAAAATTCCGTTTTTATTATGCCTCTGCATATTTTGATCCTGTTAACGACCTCAAATCAATCTTTGATATCGATTTAAAGAAATTGTTATCTCTAAAAATCACTTCAAATAGCTAACTATGACGTTATATCATACAGGCAAGTAAACTTTTTCGTTGTAACCTTAACATATTTGCGTTTAATTAAAGAAATACTAGTAGTAAGTACCCGCTGAATAATGAAGCCACGCCTTCAAGCATAACAATCGTCAATTACATTACATTACAGTCAATTGAATGCACCCCCTGACAAGCGTAAGCGGTGACATGATTACTGCAGTGTCGGTAAGCATTAAAAATGATCACTGCGCGTTGTTCCGGTTAGACCGTAATAAAAACTGCTGCAGAAAAACAAGGATAGAGGTATGTGCTCCGGTAAACAATCTATGAATGCTCAATCAAAGCCTATCCAATAACGATATGTTTCAACACTTTAATGCAAGCAGCAGATCCAAAAACCCTGCGACCCGTTTTCACAAACATTCGACCAAACTTTCGACGAAGGCACGGGAAACGTGTCTACATTGACACTGAGATCACTTCAAATCATCATTAACATTACTAGAAGGAACTGCAAAGTCATAAAATTTCGACCCTTTAAATAATTGAACATACATCTGCATTTTAAACTTAATTTCAGTCAAGAAAATTTTAAATATCATTTTTCTTCATCTCTGAACATCAAATAATTACTGCAAAGTCAAAGAAAGCACACATCCGATTATTGCATGACTGCTTAAAGTTCTGTATTATGTTTGCTAATCAACAAATGACATTCAAATTTTTGCTAGTCAATAAATGATGCCTTAGGTAGGGATTGTGAACATTAAAATTGTTCAAAAAAATTAGTTGAAACTGTATACATGCCCCTTTAAGGCTCACCTTGGCAATTAAAGTTCATTGCAAGTTTTGATAAGGTTATAATATTTCTTAAGATTAAAAACTTGAAAAAAGAAAATTATTTTAAAAACTTGATGAGAAAAGAAAATTAAGTACCGTAATCTAGAGTTGTTATGATAAGTCTCTTGAGAGAATAAAATAATACAGTAGGTAAAAGAATTTCTTTTTAGTGCTCTATACAACCATTTTATTTATTAAAATTGAGAGTTTTGATTTTCTTAAACAGAAATAAAAGAGGAGAGTGTCCTTCATTGAAAAGAAGACAGGATGGTCCCAGGAGAAAAAGGTGAAGGTCAAGTCTTTCCTCCAGTTACCGAACGCCTACAAATTCATGAGTAGTGACGAGGGGGGAGATGATGTTGTGTCCCATTCATATTCATGGGAAAGTGAAAAATTTACACGCAGCAGGGGGTCAATAAGACAACAAGATCCCCCAAAACTAGCCAGTGATCATGACTGGGTTCTAAACAATGACTCTTAAATTTATTTTTCTTTCTGTTTGTAAATATTGAGTTATATCTATATAGTAAACTTTTACATTATAGATTCATCAAAATGTATGAAGAGCTTTGGTACGTTCAAATGTTAACTGAATACTTGGATTATGTCAAGTGTGTTCACGAGCATTCCTTATATCTTATTTTTGTATAAAATTCAATAATGCAGACATGTATATCTTGATGTTCT